AGAACCCAGGAGTGGGTTCCGGCCTGGTTGCTGGGGTTTGCCCGAACATTCACTCATGAGCTCTAGGACTTCCATGCTCTCTTTTCCTTCCCAGAGGCGGATCCAGAGACATCCCGTCAGCAGTTTGTTCTCGAAAACTACTACCACCCGTTCTTTTGGGCAGGTTCTCTGGTCTAAGCCCGGAACACAGGGGCACAGTCTCTCCAGATCCTACTTCCGCACCGCCTCCAAAGGCATTAGTCATGACAAGATACTCTTAGCAGGTGACAAATATAGCCACGTGGGGAAGTTACAGAGTTTGGGAATTCTATGAAATTCTTAACAGGCTTTGCTCCTAGTCTCTCATTCCTATTCCCTTACTGGGACAGATCTCCCTAGTCCCTCCTCCTTGGGGAAGGGAAAGCCATGCAACCAGGAAGGCAACAGAGGCAAATCAGACGGGAAGACTGGCGCCCCCTACAGCAAAGCAGGTAACCTGCATTCCCGAGGTCCCTCAGACTGGATGATGTCTGTTTATCTGAGCATTTTCTTACAACCGGACAGTAGGATGGCTCCTACTTTCTTTGAGTCGGATGGCCCCACTCTGTGGGGACAGGAAATACGAGCAGGTGGCTGAATAGAGGGGTGTGCTCCTTGGGTGGGAGTTTCAGGGTTCAGAGATGAAAGCAGCAAGGAGAGAGACAGGCAAGACGGATGTGACTATGGGTATCCAGCCCAGGCATTCCCTACGGACTTCTGCTGCGTTGTGGTTAAGGTGTAAAGTCCCCAGAAATCCTCAAGGAGGGATGGGTTTGTTTGTTTACTTATTCCTATTCATTCACTCACTCATTTTCCCCCAGTGGTTTCTGGTATATTCACAGTGTTATGCAACTATCAACTATCGAATTCCAGAACATTGTCAACACCCCAAAAAGAACTCCCAAACCCATTAGCAGTCATTACCCATTCCCCCTTCTCCCCAGTGCCCAAATCCTTCATTTCAAAGCCCTGGCTAGGATAATGCTGCCACATTCAAAGGCAGAGCACTCATTAGAGAATAAAACATTAGAGAAACTAGCCGTTGTGCTCGCTTCGGCAGCACATATAGTAACATTGGAACGATACAGAGAAATTAGCCGTGAGAGAGGTGGTGAACATCAATTTCCTGTAGGATCTGGTGGGGGCCTGGATCGGCTAAGCTGAGGAAAGGTCCTATCTAACAATTTCCCCTCGAGACTGAAGCAAAGCAGTAAGCCCTGTCTAATTGAAGAGAATGGGTTCTTATTATTCTGGACTTGGGTCAGCCCAGTAAGGAGGCCCTGACGGCCACAGAGAAGTCTGGATACAGGCTGCCATGTACCTCAGACCTCATAAGGGCAGAAGGGACTCTGTGACGCGTGGCAATGGGCTAGAGCACATGGAAGAACATAAAGGATGCTCAGCGGAGGGGTGGTGACACAGAGGTGCGTGACAGCTCTTACTCAGTACCTCGGGCATGCCCACATGAGAGACAAGACTTGTTCTGGAAGCCCCAACAGGGACGCATAGGACTAATGGAAGGAAATACAGCAAGACAGCAGTATTTCAGACCACGACAGGGAAGGATTTCCTAACAGTCATGCAATCTTCAGGCTGAACGGGCTGCCTATAAGGTAGAGAGTTAAAACGCAATCTGGATATCCAATAAGTGGATGCTGTGGAGGTAATCTGAAAACCAGAGGGTGATGTGACAACCGTGGCACTCCACACTTGAGCGGTGAGGTCAACTGTGAGGTGTGCTGCAAGTGATCTGTTATAGCAATAAGACACAGGAGGTGTGTGATTTACCGCCTTTAGATTCTGGGTTATCTTTATAACACTGCTCTTGTTCACTTGCATTATTCAGTATTTTCTGGAGTGGACTGCTCCATGTTCAAGTTAGCGGGCCGGGTAATGCTCAGGGGAACGTTTCGCTCAAGTGTATTTTTAAGCTCTGGGAGGCAGGGAATCAGCAGGCTAGAGGACTGGTAGAATCCCTTCCAGAGCTGAGATTCCTTGCGGGGAGGGGGCACCCCCTCCTCAGCCTGCTGACATAATCTTGACATCCCAGAAAACAGGTGTCACTGCCTTTCTGCAGAACTGATCTGCAGGCTGTAAGGTCTAAGTCTCACACCTATAGGAGGTACTGGTCACAAGGCCCAAGGGTACATGTGAACTCCAAAGAATGGGACAGTGAGGACTAGATAAAGTTAACACCTGTCTGAGTGTCTTATTTGCACAGAACAGTCATTCAGGTGATTTCAACAGGTCCAAAGGAAAGTCTGACCTCTATATTTTCTTTAAATAAAAATGGTTATAGTTGATGTAAATATGCCCAGAAAACATTATTTGCTTCTTGAAACATTAAACATTTTTTCCTCTAAGCAAAAATTGACATGAACTGGTAACTAACGGAACCCAAACTCAGCCAACCTCGCCCCAATCCAAACTGGAATTGACTTTCGCTTTTCATCCCCCTGGATAAATAGCCTTGGCAGAAACCCTTGTCCCAAAGGCCAACTGTAGAAGTGCCACCATAAAACCACTTGACTGACCAACTCCAGCCTTTTCGGATTCTTCCCCGACTCCTTTTCCATGTCCTTTTTCTGCTGCTCTGCCAAATGACCAGATGTGAATGACTCCTCCGGAATGCAGGAATAACTAAGCAGATGGAAGGTATCTGATCACCTGGTGCAGTGCGCTACTGGGCAGCCTGTGATTTCTGGCACCTCATAATTTTTTTTTACTACAAAACATTTTTTCATTACAAAGCTATTATTACCACATTATAAAAATGTGGAAACTAGAGAAAAGAGAAAAATCACTTACGATCCCATCATCCTGATAAAATTGCTGCTTGCATTTTGGTGTGTTGTCTACTTTCCTCCAGGGCTCTCTGTGTATGTAGTTCTATGGACTACATACATTTAGCTTATGTGTCCCCACCTCCTCTGAAAAGGATGTCTGGAGGCTTAGATAAATATGTATCATCTGACAGTCAGCTGCATGTAGACACGGTCTCTCCCAAACCAGCTCGTGTTCTCACCGCCCTGGCTTGTAACTTGTAAATTCCATCTCTGCATCATCCAGGTTGAAACTTTTGCTCCACCTTGGGTAGTGCAAAGACTCCTCTCCCTCAACCCCAACATCCATTTCCAGTGATTCTTCAGTCATTACCCCTTTGTCACATCTGCCCTCCCCGCCCTCCTTAGTGTCGCCACCACCCCCAATCCCGTTTATGACCTATTTCCCTAAGTAATTATGATGCTTCTCTGCCTCTACTTTGCCTCCTTCTCCTTCATCTTGTACTGCTAAATTATTTTCCTTACTTTTACTGCTCTGCTTGAACAAGAGATTGAAAACAACTGGTTTTCAATTGTCTGGCACAGAACATTCTTTGGTTGGTAATTTATAAGCGTGTACCATTTGTGCCCAATCTACTTTTCCTGCCCTACCTTTTACCACTTCCCTACCAGAACCCTCTGCTGGTACTCTGCTATCCTAGACAGGAGACGCAGTGCGTAGTATAGAGCGAGTGGGGCAGGACGCAGGCCTGCTCTCTGGGGTCCCGCAAGAATACCATCCAGGCCAGCCGAGATGCGGCAACAGCTGCTAGACCTTGCCTTCTGCCACTGACAGCTATAAAAGTGGACAAGATAAATGAACAACTTTTTTCAAGCATTAGACTCCAAACAGAGCAGGGTTGTGAACCCGGAGAGAAGGGAAATACAGGAAGTGAGGTTCATTGTTACCAGGCTTCCTGCCTGGGAGCACTTTTCATGCTGGAGCTCACATAGAGCGACATGCTCAAGCCTTTGCACTTAGCAAATGTTGCTCAGAAGATAAGAACCCAACCCAGTATTTGCTTTTTTAAGTAGGCTGCTCACATTCTAGATTTTAAAAATCTGTAATTGCTCCAAAATTTCTAGGGGAACTTTTCTCTCTTTATGTTTTATGCTTCTTTCAATTTTTTTTAGTTGAGATTACTGAGCAACCTTGCCTACAGTTTCAAGGAGGACTCCCACTAAAAGAAGGTAAAAGCATTTTTAGGCAATGATGTTTTCTGTCTCTCAGCCTCCTATCTCCTAATCTTCACTGCCTACTACAGTAGAGAAGAGATCACACACGGAACCTATGTGGAGTTTTACGTCAATAGACACCTCTGCAATATTTTAAAAGACTTTGCCGCAGACTGAAACCTCAAGGGTGGATACCCATCATCAGCAAGCCATCAAAACCCATGACAGTGCTGAAGCCATATCCAAGAATGACTAAAGCCAAGACAGTCACCTAGACGCCATCCTAGAGAGGGACAAGAAATCACTAGACTAGAAGCAGCACATGGGAGGGGCATTAGAACGGGGACTGATAGGGTTTGCACTTCTCACACCCCACACACTTTCCTTCCCCCTCACCCCACCGTAGTTCTCAAATCCCATACTCTTTCCTGCTTAGTTCCATCCCAAAAGAATGTTTAAAGAGCCCCCACCAGCTGCCTTTTGTAATCTGCCAGACAGATGAAGACCTGCTGGGAGTAGGGCAGGCTTCTCCAGTGCAGGTCTGGAGGGCATTCGGTAGGGAAGGTGCTCCTACTACCCACTGCTGAGTATGCCTTTGGAGAGTACCTCCAAATCATCCCAATCTGTTGGTAACTGCAGGTAAAGAACCCAGTGCTTCTCCTAAGCAGAGCTTAAGGGCTTTCTTCTTGAACACACTGCACCCAAACTGCAACTTCCTAAGGAGCCAAGGAAGTAGTCCTTCTGCCCTCCCTGCTGCATCCGCGGAGGGCCGGAAATGTCCCGGGGAGAGGACCTTTCTTGTTCTCACCCTCGTCAGAGTCACCACAGGAACACAATCTTTAAGTCCCATAATGTGAAGTCTCAGGAACAAAGCAAACCCAGCGCTGCACATTATATCGCCTGGGGAATACATGGCAGCCAGGCTGACCAGAAAGGCATGCAGATGGCCTGCTACCCAGAAAAGTATAGAAATTTCCATCCTACCATCAGCAAGTGGCTTGCAGGAGAGGGCATCATCGAGGTCGCGGGCAGTTGATGGGTCAATGGTGAAGATACAGTCTTTCCTAGGAAAGATTGAAGACATGATTAGCAATGCCACAAATACCAGAGCCTTTACCCCACTGTACTAGAGTTTTAAAGAACGGTTACTTTGCAAATGTGCAAATGGTAGGAAAGGGAAGAGTGACTTCTGTCATAGCTCTCTGAGAAGGGGATCTTTCGTCAACAGTGAGATGGGAGAGACAAATGTGGGAAGCTACCAAGACTCCATAGTATCTCTGAGGGTCTTCCTCTTTCTGTGAACTGGCACCTACTTCTCCTTGAGCCTGAGCAAGAAGTGTGAGTGGGTAGAGTGAGGTGGCTTCCAGACGAGGGGGGGAGGTTTCCCAGGAAGTTTTCTGACATGAGGAGCAAGTGCCTTTGGTAAATTACTCTCCGAAGGTCAGCTCTTGCTTTTGCCTCCCCCTTCCTCAGTGGCTAATGGGAACCTGTCCTTCAAGGATGTATGTGAGGATGACTTACTGCTCCTTCTCCTATCTCGCCAAAGTGGGGGTTTGCCAAAGAATAAGTCATCTGACTCGTTGGGACAAAGGGGAGAGGACCCAAGAATAAGTTTTACCAAAAAAAACTCTGGGCCACACAGTTAGCCATAATACAACTATACTTGGAAACGTACCTAATCAGGTTGTTTCCATGGAATAATTGTATATTTCACCCAAGTTCACAGAATCAGTATGTCCTCTCTCCTCTTATCTTCACATGCTACCCCTACGCATATCTCAAGTGCGGAGCCCTTCTCGTTTTGCTTTAGAGCTTCCCAAATAACACGCCCTACCCAGCCACCAATCCAGCCACATAAACACCTGCGGTTTGGGCAGTCTGTCCACAGTTCTTCACACCCCCTGCCTTCCCTCCCCAGGCACTGGCCTGGGGCTTGGGGTGCTTGGCAGGAGGCACCTGCCCTCCCCCACACAGGCTCTCTAGCTGGTGCCCTCTGCTGCCTCTGGACTCTTCCCAAGTTCTTCCTCCATGTCCTCAGTACCAGCAGTACCACCGCTGCCATGCCCTGGTCTTCTCCGGATGCATCAGCACTCACGGTGGGAAGAATCCTGGTACCCACCACGATTAGACTGGTTTGGTTTGTACAAACTTCTTTCCTTGGGTCGCTCCTCTGCTTAAAGTGTCCCCAAAGCCCTCAGAAGCTGCCAAGCTGGCTCTGGTGCTGGTTTGCAAAGCTCTTGGGGCCTTCCCTCCTCAGTCCCCTTACTCCTAATAACCCTCAGCAGCCCACTCTGACCCCTCACGGCAATCAGCTCACCCCTGCAATAGCTTGATCTTAGGACAGTACCCATTCTAAGATGCCCCATCAATTCAACAATAGCTTTTTAGGGAAACAAAAACCCCTATCACAGTAAATATATACATTGATTTTAATGTATTTCAGGATTTGAGAAATGTCAAAATGTTAAAAAGAGAGACAGACAGACTCTTAAATGGTAAAAGAATATACAGATAACCAAACTGTGGTATATCTATACAAGGGAATACTAATTAGCAACAAAAAGGAACTAATTGCTCCTACATGTTAACAACTTGAAATCTCAAAGTTTCTATGCTAAGTTAAAAACACCATTCTCATGAGCTTATATAATGTATAATTCCATTTCTACAACAGTCTCAAAAAGACAAAATTCTATGACAGCAGATCAGTGGTTGCCAGGGGCTGAGGGTGCCTGTTGTGGGAGAACAGAGCTTTCTTGTATCTTGACTATCATGGTGGTTACATGAATCTATACATGTCTTAAAATTAATATAACTGTACAAGGTCAGCTTCACTGTTCATTAACTTAAAAATTAAAATTTTAAAAAAGATTTTATTTGAGAGAGAGAGAGAACGTGCAAGCAGGGAGAGGGGCAGAAAGGCTGAGGGGTACAGGGGGAGGGAGAAGGAAAGGGAAAGGGAGAGAATCCCAAGCCAACTCTACACTGAGTATGGAGCCTGACATGCGGCTTGATCTCATAACCCCAAGATCATGACCTGAGCCAAAACCGGGAGTTGGACACTTAACCAACTGAGCCACCCAGGTGCTGCTAAAAATAAACAATTTCAGATATGATTTTTGAATCCAGGAAAGTAAAAGAGATGCATTCATTGTTAACAGAGTTGATGAATAGGTGCCACAATTACTAAAATTTCCCTCTATGTTTTTCCATATTATTCAAAATTTTCACTATAACTATTACTTTCATAAGTGGAAAAAAATTAGCACTGCAGATAATCTCCCTCAAACAAAAAATAATTGTCCATCACATACATAATATTGCTTATAAAGACGTTTAGCAACTTTGTAGACTTGTACTGCAGAATACAGTCAATAGCTTTAAAATGATGAGTCACATAAAACTATAAACTCACTAGTATACAAAGAGAAGAGGGCGAGGAAAGTTGGGTGCAACTCAGGTGGAGGACACAAGAGCATTTAGAGTGCAGTCCTAGGAAGAGTGGCTTCTCGGGCCATCCAATCTTCTCACTAAATAACTGAAGAAGAGGTGCTGACGGGGGGGGGGGGAACATAAATGTGGAGGTCTCGGGATATAAAGAAATAATTTCTGTTCTACCATCTAAAAGAAGATGTAAATATGGCACAGTGCCAGATGAAAAGAGAAACACCAGATGTTCCCTGGGAAGTAAGCTCCCTGAAGGCTGTGTTGCAGTGATATGAACAGAGGCTGCAACTCCCAAGTGTTCGCTGAATGAATGCACCCAGGCTGACAGTAAGAGACAGGGAAGTGAAATTAATCCTGACACCAATGTAATGGGCTCTGAATTGGTGAGGATCTTGAACTTGATTCACAAGGTAAGGAAGGAACTGACTGCTTGTTTCTTTTTGTAGCCTCCATAAAAGCTGGCAAAATGCTTTATATATTCACTGAGTGCTCAATAAATACTTGTTGAACTGAAAATAAAATGTCAGACTTGGAGGGGGGGAATGTTTTGATCCTCCTTTCTTAGTGACATCATAAGAAGCTGAAAGAATGTCCCTTTAGTCAAAAATCAAAAAGAACACTGATTAGCTTGGTAGGGGCCACAGTTGACTGGTGTACTTAGATTGCTGAAAAGGAAGTTATGTTTTCTTAACATTAAATGTCTCTGGGTGCTTTGACTTTTATTTCAATGAATGAATGATGCCCACTAAAGCATTACAGTGTCCAATTAGTGCAGACATACATGACAGACTAAAACTTCAGGGCTTCAGTTTTAAGTTGTAAATTTCTTTAAGAGGACCCACTGTTTCTGAGAAAAATCTTAGACTAGCCTGAACACTCAACCCAAATCTCTACTACTTTTTTTTTTTTTGATTTGCTCTGAAACCAGAAACATAAAAGTCTAAATTAAAACAACTCTGAGGAACAGTAATCATGAAGGCTTGCTGGAAAGATCTACCATCCAAACATTATCCTTGATCATGGGACAGCAAACTATAGCTACTGACCAAAAAGGGCCTGCCACCTGTTTTTGAATGACCTGTGGGATAAGAATGGTTTTTACATTTCTAAATGGTTGGGAAAAAAACAAAAGAAGAATATTATTTCATGACATGGGAAAATTATATGAAATTCAAATCTCAGTGTCCATAAATGAATATAGCCATGCTTTTTGGCTACAATGGCAGAGCTGAGTACTCATGACACAGACTGTCTACTTAATATTACCTGTCTGGCCCTTAACAGAAAGTTTGCTGACCCCTGTTTTAGATCAATGATCCCCAGTGCACCAAGTTTTTTGTTTTTGTTTTTTGTTTTAAAGGTCTGATGATTAAATCAGTTTGGGAGATGCTGGGCCATAAGGGACTTCTAAGAGCCTTCAATGAGCTGCTGCTTTGCAATTCTTGACATATCTATTTGATCTGGGCTTTTTTTTTTTTTCTTTCTCGTGGCAGAGGATCTCCCAGATGCAACAGGTTCCTCAGGAGACCACCCTTTGGGAAGTGATGAACTGGACCCTGCACAGGCCTCCAGTGGAGTCCTTATCCCAGATGGAGCCTTGCCACCAAGTCTACCTCAAGGATCATGGCAAGAAGTCAAGAGAATGGCTATGCTGTCCACTGCAGAGAAGCTGATAAGGGTTTTGTTCCAACCACTCACTCGGGGCCCCTTTGATGAGTGCTTCTGGGGGGAAGTTTATAAAGGGCAAGGACCCACTCCTACCCTCCTGAGTTAATGGTTTGTTTGTATCTTTTAAGCTTCCCTCTTTGCTTTGGCTTCTAGGAACTCAGTAAACTATTGTGACTTGCCTCAAAAGGATCTTATTTGTCGTTTGAACTCTGTGCACTCACCTTTATCCTGGCTGTGACTAATTATCCCACTTATTTTTCCTTTTCCCTTATATCCTAATTTTAAAAAATTAACTGCATTATATGTATACCTGCTAGGTACCTTAAATACTTTTTTTTTTTCTTAAAGCAGGATGTAAGTATGTGCATAGATTAAGGAGTTACAACATTTCAGAATCACGTTGAAGGGGATGCTGGAAGAAAAGAAGACCTTCTGTATGGGCTACTAAAAGAACTAACTTCTAGACAGAGTAAAACTTGGAGAACTCCCAACAAATATTTGTACTGTAGCAGTGCCCTCCAAACTTGCTCGCTCGCTGTGGAAAATTGGGAGAAGCAAGGGAACAGTGAGTGACCCTGACAAACCCCAGTCCTCAGCGCTGAGAGCCAGTGATTTAATCTGTTGTCATCACCACAATTACGAACCGGCCACGATGTGGTGCATGAGGGCTCCTTCTGGTTGTGGGCCACAGCGGCCGGGAGCTGCCGGCCTCAGCACTTGGGAGCCCAGCCCCACGGGGGTGGCGCTCTGTGCAGCTGTTACACTCTGTTAACATGCTAGGGATTTTACTGGCTCCTTTTCTGGAAGGCTCTGGTCTCACAACCTGCAGGGAGCAGCCTGGCCTGCCAGCTTTTAGAACCTGTGAGACCAAATATTTAAAGAGTTCCGCAACAATGGTTAGAAAGAAGCCAACCCTGACCCACAGGAAATCAAGTGCCAGGTGGGGGAG